TTATCTGGAAGCTGTTTTTTTGCCTTAATGTTATCGAGGTTGCAATGCTGGATTGTCATTTTTCAATTGCTGTTGAAGTGTGTTTTTCTCCTAGGCACAGCCAGCAGGCAGTGTTAAACCAGATCACAATGAGCATTCAGAACACTGCAGAGAAAAGATTCCAGATACATGTACAGCGCTAGATTTTCAGATTATCATATATGTCACACTGGTTACAACTGACTTACATATATTTTGCATAATGCTTGTCTCCATAAGGGACTCCTTGTTTACATCATCCAAATGAAATAGGCAAGATGACATTAACCTTCTTTTTTTTCCCTCCTGTGGTGGCTTCCAATAGACAATCTGTATAAACTTCCCCCACCCAAAAGCTCTGTCTGTCCACAAAAAAATCATTCTGACAAGCAATTTGCTGGATAGTCCAGTTTGGAATAGCTTTGGGAAGAAAAAAAAAAAAAAAGAATTATGCTTCTGGTGCCTATTACAAGTAGCAGACCTCAAGTCTTTGTCAGAAACTATTTCTGTGTTCCTTGTTTACATATGTATGCTATCAAGCAGAGCACCTCTTAACTTCCCAGCATGAAACGAGCAATGATCTTTTAAACGCTATTTCCTTAAGTGTATGTGAGTGGGCAGAGAAAAGAAGATGCTAATTTATCCTGTTATCTTCCTGCTGCTCAATATTCCACAGTATTTCTAATCTTAGACACAAGGAATTTCTTTCAGCGTATACCCCATATGACCACACAAAGATCAGTATAAGTTCTTATAAAAGTTCATAATCGCCTTGGAAAACTGAGTGCTGCCTTATGTTGCTGAACTGTAGCACCTGAACCAAAGTCAGAAGCAGTATGCACGCAGTTCCTTCTCATCCAACACATCTAATGTATTAAAAAAAACACACCACACAATATCTGGATTTTGCTGGATACACACTGGTACCCAGAAAAGGAGGTACACTTTTCCATTGCAGCTGTACTAGCTAGGCATACTCTGTTTATACTCACATAAAATGATGTGATTTTTTAATGTTAACGTACAAAATGTTACAATTGCTGAATACACTCATGTGAGACAATGATTTCAAGAACAGAAGACACAAAACAAACTTGCTAAACTCCATGATTTGCAGCAGCTTTGAAAGATGCTGAAACTGCTCAAAATAAGAGACTCTGCAAACAGAACTGAGAGGTGCAGTCCAGGTTTACGAAACTGCTCACTGTTCTTTCCCATAAGGAATATACATTTACCTCTCCACACCATGCTTTGCCTAGCAAGGTCCTGCATTCACATTTGCATTAAAGTTGCAATCCAGAAATAGAAGCATTTACAAAGCAGTTGTAATTAAAAGTATGCAGCATAACTGCCTAGTGATATGTTCAGGTACAGCAGAACAAGGTGAACATGCCTTAAATTTTTGTCTTATTTTATCTAAAAAGAAAAGGAACTTCAGCTTAGTTCTTTTGTGAACTCCTTGCATATTAGTTACAAGACACAAGCTGTGAAACTGAAGATTTGTAGTGCAGATCCTGCTGGCAAGTGGAATTTCAGATTAAAATCGTCTTACTGCAACTAACATTAGTTTCCATGGGAACAAAGCCACGCTAAGACAGCCACACAGCCAGGGCTCACACTGACCAGGCCCCATCTACAGCAAGTTCATATCTGAAGGTCCCCAGCACAACAGGTGACACACACCACGTCACATCTGCAAAGTGACTTAACTTTATTAACATGCTAAGCTGCAGTTTGCAACAAATTCTAAGACAAAAACCGGCAGCTTGTTTTGGTAGATGTCCTCTCAGTTGAGTGCTGGAAGCAACCTATAATTTTTCTGTTATCATCTGTTTATTGTAAATTAATAAGCTGTTAATAGTAAGAAAGAACGAGCCTACAGAGTCTCAGCAGCAGCACCGTCCTCTTCATGTTACAAACAGACAACTCAAGGCACTGCACAATTGAAGAGACCAACTGAGCATCATGCAGCCAGTGACTGAGCAGATTCTTCCACCCCAGTACATCAGTAACTCCATGCAGGGGCAGGTATGCTCCAGAGTGAATCACTCCCTTTGCAGCAGTACATTATCTAGTAAGGGCAAAAGTATTTGACAGATGAAGCTGAAAGCAGATCTGTTCACACTCACTGAAGCACTGCAATCAGATATCCAATCAGTACAGCACTGTTCTTAAAGATTCAGCAATTTAAGCAAACCTAAAGGGTTACAGTTCCTTGCTCAGGTTCTGTCAGTGTGCTTTACTTAACAACTGCATTTAATCCCATTAATAACTTACCTATTAAATCTGAACTTAGATTCAGCTGCATGCCCACAAACCTTATGGCATGAGCAACATACTTAGTCTGAAGCTGTTTATCAGACAATTACTCAGATTTAACTAAAAAGGAAGTAAAAACAAAACCAAAAACAAACTTATAGAATACCTCGTGGCTGATTTTCTTTTTAAATAATCATTTTCAGCTTTAAAGTAACTAATAAGAACATTTAAATAAATTTGCATGCAATTGAAAAACTTAAGAACAACTTTTCCCAAGGACTTCATCTTTTGCTTTATCACAGTCTAGGAAGCTCATGCTAGCTTCCTTCCTAAAGGCTTTATTGGGACTTAAGGTGTACAGAACTGTAACATCAGAGCACTACTGGAAGCACACAAATGATTTGCAAAGGCAGGAATATCTATCTACATGCAGTTAGGCAATCCTGTCACTTTTCATATTTTTTCCCTTCTTTTTCCTCCCAGCTAAGCATAACTGGAGATTGGAAAAGCAAACATTAAGTACTTCCAAGTACTAGGGGAAAAAAAAAAAATAAGGCTTCTAAGATCAAAGTTATAACTGACTGATACAGAGCTCTGCCTGTGAGCCACACTTCTACCCTGTGTTGTGGTTATGTGCACTACTCTGGGGCATCAGCCTGGAACTAACTCTTCTGGGGCTGCAGACCAACAGCAATGATGATGTTTGGAGTCAGACACACCGAAACAGCTTTCTGTGCATACTTGTGATTACGTTTATTTTCATCTCTGAATCAGAATTAATCCTATTTCAAGTTGACAGTTTAAAAAAAACATCATTTCAAATATTTAACTACACTATTAATACACTGAATGTGAAAATAGAACAGCATATGGCAAAAGAGATTAAGAGGATTAACCAATTAAATGGTATGACTCAAACTGACATGATCCGTCAAATCTGTGTTTTGCAGTGAGGTACGTGGGGGCATGAGGAAAGGACTTCACCTAAAGAAAGCACTAAAAGCCAAACTCCTAAGAACATGTGGTTTGGTTGGAAACATCTGCTGGGAGGGAATGAGATGAGTGACACGTGCAAAACTCACGAGGTAAGCAAAAGTGATTTACTTTTAGATGGTTCCTTTCTCTTTAATGCTGTATTTCACAGAAATCCACATGCTTGATGTAGAACTTAACATGAACAGTTCCATGTGACTTGACAGCAAACTCTATACTCAATCATTTGTATGTTTTGGTCACATGACATTAAATTTGACATACACAGCTATAGACCACATTCCTGTTACTACAGAGGCACAGTAAACATCTCACTGAATTCAAGTTTCCATAACTGAAAGAGTAAAATATTCAAGCGGGCCTCTGGACAGAACTAAGGCCTTTTTCTGAGAGCTGAAGGCAGACAACTCAGCATATCACATCTCATGAGAGTAAAATAGTTCATCTGCACATTTCACGGCAGGAAAGAGGCCACAAAAGCAAAGGCATCTGGAAAGTGTTCCTCCAAAAGGTGACATTCCTGTCAGGTTCACGCAACGGCCCTCAGTACACCTGGAGTAAAACCTGCTGGGAAGACAGATAATGCAGGGAACAGGTCAGACCTTTGCTCCCCAGATTAACCTTGGGATCTCCAGGCACTTGTCTGAATAAAAAGAATTCATTTGATTTCATTCTTCTATAGCTATTGAAGAAATGGCAAAAATACAAGCAAATAATCTTTGGTAGGTATTATACAGGCTTGTAACCGAAGAATTTAAGATGTTAAATTAGTAAAGGATTTAACATAATTGAAATATATACTACAAAATAATATAATCTCCTTTTATACATAGCCACAGCTAAAATGCCAAAATTAATCAGTAGCAAACCAAAGCTGTTCTTAGGTCACTGAAACTTCACCTTGGTATAATTTAAAATATCAATATTATACAAACATTAGCATTTTCTTTGGACAGCTAAATTAAACAAAAAGCACGTTGAAAAGTTCCACTGATACAACTACAAACCCCACAGACACACAGATCCCAAAAGCACGTTTCAAGCAATGTAGTCTCATTAAGCACACACTTTTCTCATGTCTCAGCCTCCCCTTTAGAAGAACTCAGTAGAAAAGGAATGGAAAAAGAAGAAAGATGCAGTTTCATTCTTAACTCTGGATCACAAAGAAACACAAAGTTGCACGTTTGTATAATGGAAATGGATTTAGATGAGAGTTGTCTGGATGAAGATATGGAAACCAAAGGAGTTTATTTCTAGTTGCTAAGTTTCTATGATCCTTCTGAGAGTGCATCTCATAAAGCTGTATTTTAAAAAGAATGTTTATATGTTTATCACAACATACAAATCGTAACGAGCTGTCTTTTATGGATTTAATATTAAATACAAAGCAAATCATGCTTTACTCCTGCAAATTATGCTTTACTCCTAATCCCACATTTCTGAGTGCACATAAGAAAAAACAGCCTCGAATGTATCAATGACAGCTTTGAGATATCTAAGAAAAGTGCTGTGAAATTTCATTAACGTTTCATTTTCATTAATAACACCCAACTATGCAGAACAGAAAAATGTTATCTGACATGGTAGTGTGCATATAGGCCACGTGGCATGCTACTAATAAAGCCCCTACTAGCATTTACTTCCAAATTACTGTCTTGCTATCTACAATAATGTGAGTGAAACAGTAACAAATCTTAACATGAAAAACAAAAACAAGTTTATCTGCTTACCTTGAGGAAAAGGATTGGGCTGCACTAGATACAGGAAAGCATGGACTACTTTAAACAAAATTCCTATTGGCCCAGGTTCATGGTATGCACCTGTATCATATGTCTTGGCAGGTACAAATCCAAAATCCAAAGTCCCAGGAGGCGGCTTGTATATAGGCTGAACCTCTGAAATAGTACTTCCACAAAACAACAGCAGGAGCAGACAGAGTTCCACAGCCATGGCTAGCAGTATTCATAAAATTTGAGGTAGAGGTAGTTGTCCCATCAACTCCAGAAATCTTCAATACATTCACTTAGGAGCTAGATTTCTCAACAGCAAAGCACTGGTACCCTCACACCCTTATTCTTTAATGCCTTCTTGTTCTGGAGTGGTATAGGAGCCTCTCATGGAAGTGACTCAGCGCACCATCTCTAGGAAAAGAAAGAAAGAAAAAAATTCTGAGCTCATTAAGGTACTGGCATGCAAGCAGAAATTGCAAGATACCTGCAGACACTGAACTTATCATCACTTGTAAAAGCAAGCTTGGAAGGACAGAGGAAAAAAAGAACTGAAGTCTGTGAATAAAATGGTCTGCTACACATGCTGTACTTGAAAGAGGGATAAAAACAATTACGCACAGTTCCAGGTCAATGAGTTTTCAAAAACAAAGCAGAGCATTGGGACAGCTCCAGAGAAAATATGCAAAATTAAGGTAGAACATACAAACTGCAGTTCTAACTAAACGCTGTATGTCACTTCACAGTAGTTTGCATCTAGTCAGCTACCTGTAGTTACTATAGAGGATAACGACTACTAGCTGTATCTTGCAGTTTCTTTAATCTGTAACATTTTAGATTATAGGACTCCCTTCCCCACAAACAACCTTGCAGATGGCACTTCATGACACCCATTTCATAGCTAAGGCCAAAGACTCATCTCAAGAAAGAATTTAAGCTTCCACTTGTTTTGACATTACAGTAACTTTTTATCACTGAAAACTTAAGGAGAAAAAAAAAAAAAAAAAATCTCCTGTCCCCCTGAAAGATAACAGTGTATGTCCTCAATTGCTTTCAGTAGAAAGCAATTAATTCAAACTTTCACAATGTTCTCCTTCAGAGCCTGAGCAGCCAATAGCTTTTATAAAACGTCTTGTTGAAGCTGAGTAGCATTAAGATGACTCTGGATGCCTGTAAAGTGTTAAGAATGTTGTCAGTCTATAAAACCACAACACTTTCATCAACTGTCAGAAAAGAAAAACAAGCAGAAAATCCCCTAGTTTCCAACAAAACACTTGGCCACATTTTCATCTACCTGGAGCTAGCTAATACTCCTTCAGCACAGTATGGGCCATACTGCAGCACGGGAGTGCTCTCCAAGGAAAAACTCCCTCTCTTCAAGAAAAAAATAAAAAATAAAATCACACAACAAAAAAAATGACCCAAAGAAGTCCGCACAACCAATAAAAGGCAGCGTTTGCTCCCTCTTGACTTTGGAAGTCATCCATCAAACTGGCTCACTTCTGGAAAGCCTTCACCCACTGATCAGAATGCCACCAGTGGGGACAACTGGGAATGCACTGCTGACAACCAGCCACCACCTCAAAGCAGGGAGCACCCAGTGCAAAGCAACAACAGTGGGCAAAGCAACACTGCAATCACAGCTGCAGCCAGCCCAAAGCCACAGCAGCTTCTTCACTTCCAAGGTGCTTCCATGTCAGAGGAGGTATGAAGACAAGAACACTTCTGAAGTTGGAGCAAGGTGAGTCTTTGTCTCTCCCATGCTTTACAGTCCCTAGTAAAACACATCTGAAAGCCAGCACTGACTCACTGAAAATCATATGGCAGGCTTGTTTACTGCTCCTTCCTGTATTCAGAAGTCTGATTAGCATCAAGAAAAACATGGAACACGGAAATACAAAACTTGATCAAATAATTAGGGACAGTCTTGTTTCCCTGAAACCCAATCTAGCTAAAAAAGAAAACTTAAATCTATTTTTCCACCAATGCCCAGTGAAAACCAAGAAAAACAATTATAATCCCATGAACATCAGAGTTACCAAGCCATACTCAAAGAGCCAGTGTTATATGTCTCTATATACAATGTCCAACACTGAAATGTAAAATCTTAGCAGACATTAAAAAATACGGATTTCCATATCAGAAAGATATGCTTAATTAAATAATAATGTCAGAAAAAAAAAATTATCATAAGACCATTTAGTTGGAAGGAACCTTTAAAGGCCATCTACTCCAACCGCCCTGCACTGAACAGGGACACCTGCAGCTGGATCAGGTTGCTCAGAGCCCCATCCAGCCCAGCCTTGAATGTCACCAGGGATGGGGCAGCCACCACCTCTCTGGGCAACTTGTGCCAGTGCTTTGCATAATTTTTTTTTTTTTCCCTTATATCCAACCTAAATCTCACCTCTTTTAGTTTGCAACCATTCCCCCTTGTCCTGTCACAACAGACCCTGCTAAAGGGTCTGTCCTTTCTTACAGAACCCCTTCAGGTACTGAAAGGTTGCACTCAGGTCTCCCTGGAGCCTTCTCTTTTCCAGGCTGAACAGCCCCAGCTCTCTCAGCCTGTCCCTATAAGAGAGGTGTACCATCAGTTATCCAGCTCTAACATATTATTTTTCCCCTTTCAATCATTTCTTGAGTCTGAGATTCTTGAGCTTTCTTCAGCTGAAAAGACATTTTCTCAGCAGAATTTTCTTTAATACACTTACCACACCATGGCTGAATGCAGAAATCAACGGAAAATGAAAATTGCTTTGATGGCAGTTTATTATCAGACCCACAGAAACTCCATGGGATAAAATATCACAAAATCCCAATTAAGTGCAATAGATTTTTATTTTCTCCTAATGACAAATCAGTGAAGGTTGTGCAAGCTCAATGAAATAAACCAAGCTGAATTCTTACTAAAAAGTCTGAACACTTTCCGAGTAAATTTGAGTGCTCTGGAGACTTCTCAATGCTCTCCAAGAGCTCAGCAAGTCAGGAGATAACGCTCACACACCATCACTGACCCCTGCAGAAGTTACAGAATTGGACAAAAAAACAGGCTGAAAACACTACATGGGAATGCTAGGGGCATTTGTGAATGATAAAACTGGAGAGGAAGATGACCATAACTGGAGTCCTAAGGCAGAGATAGAAGACAGGGCAAGTTTTCTGTTGTGAGCTCTGTTATATTAGAGAGAAGTGGGAAGATGCACACAACTGTTTTTTGTATCTCTTCCCCCCCCCCCCCCCCCCCAACAGACCAAGTTTTAGGCTAAGGACAATTTAAACTAAATCTAATTGTACGAATGGGAAAACAAAGCACTACCAAAATGTCCTTCTGATGTTGAAAAATAATGCCTGGCAGAAGTGTGAACTCATCTACTAGCTGATACTGAATCCTGGCAGTTTCACAACAAGGATGCTACTGAAATTGCAAGGACACTACCTGTACTGCAGGCACAAACAATATCTTGCTGCATAGAGATGTACAACCATCTTTCCACTCTGAAGACACTACAGAAATGTCCAAGTCTGTATAATTTTCAGCTGAGCCTTTATGAAGTTCAGTATTTCTCAAAAAGCAGGCAGGCATCTTGCAAATCAAAGAACCTGCAGCATTCAACCAGATGTGCTCTTTCTCCCATTACTGGCAAATCCATCACAATGAACTTGGTATATACAGGCTTATTGAGTGATTCCTTCAGGCTGACACCAAATCTTCTCTAAACTATATAAATGCTACATTAATAGTGAGCAGGAACTTGCAGAAGCACTATTAAACCTATAACTCAGGCTACCTGTGAGCATTCAATAGCTGTTCAACCTACCTAAAAATAACACTGATGTAACAAGCTCCCTGTAGTTACCTTCATCTCAGTAACTATTTAAAAAAAAAAAAAAAAAAAGCCCACAAAACGTAAGCTGGAAGCATATTAGTAGCTGAATATGCTAGATGAACAGTGCTGAAAGTGAAAAAAAATCAATCCATGAAATTGTGAGAACTGCAAGCGTGGTATATGAGCAGAAATGACATATATACCATTCATGATAATCCTCACTGCAGTGTGTGGCCATCTCATTTCCTTCAAAGCAGCGTGACATCAGTATGAGTTTGCCTGCGCAACTCGTGCCACGTTCAAGCAAGCAGGGAGAGAAAAATCAACTGTGTGAACCTTTGGAGTGCTTCCATTAATTATCAAGTAAGGTGTTCATTTTGTTACTGTTTTGATTAAGAAAATAACTGTTTGTTAACTATGGAAGATACGTAGCAATTAAAACTTCATTTTCTGTGCAGTTTGCAAGCATCCACTTTACAAGAATGAAGCTTTTGCTTTTTATTCTGCAGCTGTCACCTAAGTATCCCACATAAGTCACTAAACTGAATTCTTAGGCTTTTTTTGTTGTTGTTGTTGAAAGCACTGTGTGTGGAGAACATCATCACTGCTTCACCATGTGTGCTGCAGTATTATCACATCTCTGGTATATCTCACTTCGTATTAGAAAACAAACAAACTGCAGTGCTTTCCAAAACTGATAATGCTTCAGCAACTGCAGTGCAAGTTTAAGAAGAAGAGACAGATTGAGATGCAGAAGTTCAGTAACTGCTTTTATGATGATACCTATGCTAATGAGCAGAACTCAGAAGCACTGTGATATCCTCCTCAGAAGCATCATGATGTCCCATTCTTTGTTACTACACGACCGGCCTCTCATTTAACATTGCAATCCATGCACATACAACTCTGCAGTGCAGTGATGTGGCTATGATTAACCCTGTGAACTGAAATTCAATCAACCAGAGGCTACATTGCTCAAGCTCAATGTGGGAGCTTCTTGGCAGCAAACCAGGTCAGAACAGGGGAAGAAGCAGCTGTCCGCAGGAAGCCCACCCTGAAGAGCTGGCTGCGTTTGTCATGTTTTTTAATTAGTCATTTGAAAACCCGAGTCCATAATACCGCTCAAGGTTCCAGCAAAAGCAACCAGCGGAAGACTGAAATTAATTACGACAGCCACAACACAGGTAGCTACAGCTGGCCTGCAACTCCCGGATGTGCATTAAAACCAAACTGCAAATGAGATACAGCACAGCCAGCTAAGCTAGACACCATCAAGTCCAAAAGATACAGTTTTCTGACACAATCTCTCTCAAGCCTACCAAGGATTACAACCTGTTGCCATAGGAGTAGAAAGCAAACGAACCCAGTAAGCACCAGGGACTGCAGAACTGCCTGACGGCACCAACACAAACAAAATCCCCCACCCCAGGGAGCTGCAGGAGGCACCTGCTGTGCTTGTTGGTGCTCAACGTGAAGCACTCAAGTCAGGAACATGGGTATGTGCAACCCAGGTTAGCTTTGAGCTGCTAGCTGGTTGTGTGTGAAATACACAAATATACACAACCCCCCGCCCCCCAAACAAACAAATAAAACCAAAAGAACCAACAAAACCCACTCACCAACCAGCCAACCCTGCACTGTTTGCTGCTGTAGAAGTCACAGCAGTTTACTAACATATGCACACAAATAAACTCCAAGTGAGATATCTTCCCCAGAAGATCCACGGCTCTGACTTTTAGTCTAAAAGTTTATGTTTTCACTAAACGATCCAAAACCAAATATCTAACATGAGATTAAGCGACACGTTTACCCCAGTGCTCATAAAGCCTTTCCTTGGAAGAGCATTCCTCAGCATCACACAGGACACCACAAAGACATCCCATAATTAGACAGCTTTTCGGCAAACGGGAACAAGCGAGAGCTGAGCGCAGCCCCAGCAGCAGACCCGGACCGTGCTCCCTCGCAGCTCGGACCAAGTTTCCCTCATCTTCCCAATTACTTGCGCCGGCGAGGCTCTGCCCCCTGCCACGCCGCCGAGTCCTCGATCCGCACAGCAGCGCGGGCGCCCCAGCTCTGCCTCCGCCGGAACGCGGACCGCTCGGTAGTTTCTCCGGCCGCCTCCCCCCGCACGGCGCTCGGATGGCGATACGCGATGTCTGTCGCCGCAGCCGTGCGCCGCGGAGAGGCCGAGCCGCCCCAGGTGCGGCGTTCGCCGCAGCGCGCTCCCACGGCGGGAAGGGGCGAGCCGCCCTCCTCGCCCGCAGCCACCATTCCGCCGCAGCGCCGAGACGGGGGGTTCTCTCCCCGCGACGAAGCGATGCGGAGGGCCCCGGCCCCCCCACCCAGCGGCCGGACATCCCCGGAGCTCTTCGCTCCTCTCTCCCCGTCCCCGCCGCCCGGCTCTGCTCCGCGGGCGGATCCGCCCTGGTTCCCCGCACGCCGCCGTGCCGCAGCCCCTTCCTTTCCCGCAGCCGTCCCCGCTGCTCCCGCAGCCGGCTTCTCCCGACCCAGACCGAGCCCTCCTCCCGGCTCTCCCGCCGGTCGCCCCCCTCACCCGGTTCCCGAGGAAGCTCTCTCCCACCGCCGCCACCGCCGCACTTTCTCTCCGGGAAGGGCAGCACTTGTGCCGCCCGCAGCGGGAGGAGCCCCGCCCCACCTGCCGCCCCTCCCCGCGCACACCGCGCCCGGCACTCACCGGCGGAGCGGGGTCGAGGAGACGGACGCTCCGGTCGCGGGCTCGGGGCTCGGCCCGCTCCGCCTCAGAGCGCAGCGGCGGTGCCGTCCGCGCATGGATTACGGAGGGCGGGCTCTGCCCCGGGCCGGGCTGCGGGACCACCCCGGCGGGCCGGGGCCGGAGGAGGGAGAGGGGGAGGAAGAGGAGGAGCGTGAGGCGCTTCGCCCCGCTGGGCGCCGTGGGGGCGGCCCGCAGGGTCGGGCCGGGCTGCGGCGCGGTGGGAGCGCTGCGAACGCGACCTGTTGCTGGGCGGGCTGCGGCGGCGCGGGCACGGCTCCGCTCCCCGCCGGGTTCCCTCTCTCATCGGTCGTTGTAAGAACATCTCGTTTCACCCCTCCCGGTGGATGCCCTTCTTTCCTGACAAGGTTATCGCCTCTTTTGGGGCCGGAGTCCATGTTTTTTCTTCAGAGTGACTTTGTTTCTGAGCCCGTGACACCTCGGTCAGACGAGATGCACCTTTCCTTATGCCGTGACACAGTAACACGCTTCCGAAGGCTCCTGTGCTTTCCTCATTTGCCCTCTGTGGTTTTTATTTGCAGTTTCGGTGTTTCAAAACTGTGCCCCTCATTGCAATATCAAGTCATTGGGTTTGGAAACAATTCCTACAATTCCTACCAGGCCCTCCACTGCCCAGCATCACCACTCAGGGCAAAGCAGGAACTTCTGCTGGACATCCAGAATCACACTGACTCCTCAGAGGTCCTGAAAGCACTGATGGAGAGGACACTGATGGAAATGGCTTTGTGCAGGTAGAAAGATGCCAAGGGGAGGGTGGTAAGGGCGGTGGCTTTAACCTAGAAGAGGGGAGATTTAGGTTAGATTTTGGAAGAAATTCTCTACTCAGAGGGTGTTGAGGCACTAGAGCAGGCTGCCCAGAGAAGCTGTGGGTACCCCATCCCTGGAGGTGTTCAAGGCCAGGCTGTATGGGACCCTGAGCAGCCTGAGCTGGCGGGTGGCAGCCCTGCCCACAGCAGGGGGTTGGAACTGGAGGGGCTTTAATGTCCCTTCCAACCCCAACCATTCTGTGATTCTATGAAACCAAGGCTTCTGCTATTGCAGGAGGCTGTCTTGCTATTATAACTTTGGCCAAGGATTGAATATTTTTCAGTATTTTGCAAGGCTGGATTTTACCTGTATTTCAACTCAGGGCATTTGCCAGCACTGCACACTGGAGAACAAGCTGCCACGTTGCTCCACTCAGAAAGAACAACTATTCTGACCGGCACAGTTCCTGGATTGTTCAGCTTGAGTGCTGCAACCCAAGCTGGAGAGCGTAGCACAGAGCTCAGCCAGAGGCTCTTGTCTCAGCTCTTGTTACAGTTCTGCTATGTACCCAAGCAGTTTGTCAAAGACAGGTGATGCTATAGTTTTGGTGAGACACAGAACATGATGGCAAAAGGTCAAGTGTGCTAAGTTAGGCAGATAGTCTTCAAATTTAGAAGTACAGCTCCTTCTCAAGCTCCAGATGAAAATTTTTCTATATACAAGAGAATTTGCCTTCCAAACAATAGGCTGCATGTAACCAAAACTATTAATCTAATGATCTGGTGGATTTGATTTCTAACACTCCTGTGCAGTGTTAGAAGAGAGAAGCTGAATCTTGGTGCCATTTGACTGATTTTTAACTGCAGAGTGAAGGCGCATAGCTACAGCAATAAATAACAGCAGAAGAGTTTGCCAGAAATCAAAGACAGTGATGTGGGATTATGGAAGAGAAGCGCGTGGAATGAAAAGTAAGGACATTGAGCCCTTCTGGAGCTGAAGACACTAAGATTTTCTTTTGGATTACTGATTAACGCAATAGATTTAGTAGAGGTTAATGGTAGGCTACCACAGGACTGTTAGGTGAAATGTGGCTGCAGTTTGCAAGCAGGACAAACAGGAAAAAGACATGAGTGTTCACACAGAAGAATTCAAACTAAACTAAATCGAGAGCAGCTCTGTTAATGGAGGTGCTTTGTCAGTGAACTAAGGCAACACCAGTTTCCTGATGAACATTATCCATGTTAGGTACTGAAAATGTGTTTTCTGAGAAGCACCTGGTTAATGTGTCACTGAGATACGGTGGATGGAAGCCTGACCTCTTCAGCTGCCTCCCACTGTATTGCTGGCAAGCCAAGTGTATGTCTGGCCTGAAAGTGCTCTGAGCAGCTGTTGACCTTTCCATGATGTTTCTTCTGCATGTCAGGTAGGGGTGGACTGTGAAGTGGGAAATACTGCACCAGCTTGCAGTCCCCGTCCAAGTCACAGCAGAGGCCAGGTTTACTTGGCTGCACATTTACCTGCCTGACATTTGGCCACGAACATGTTACCAGATTTGCATGTGCACTGCTGCCACATCAGAAAAAGGAACGTGTGAAAACTGCACACAGTTGGAACAGGCTGAAACAGTATCAAGAAAACTTCTCTTCCAGAGACCACACAATTTTCTTCCTGTGGTCCTTTCTGTTCTGGGACACTTGGACTAAAATTCATCAAGACACCCTCTGTCTTTATCCATTGTGGTCAAAACTTTTAAACGATCTCAGCACTCAGGTCCCCAAAATAGTCAAACCCCTCACTGCTGACATCAGCGAGGAAGTGCTCTGCCAAACCACAGCACAGTAGGTTCTACGGCCCTTGAAAACCTGCTCTGAAATACGTGTCCAAAACAGGAACAGCTGGATGAAGAAACCTGCTCTGTGCTTGTTGGTGCCGAGCATTTGGAAATCTGGCTGAGTATCAATCATCTCTGTTATCTCAGAGGAAAATCCTCAGATAACAGGAAGATACATGAGTTTTAGAGCTTAACTATAAGCTGTATCATGTAATTGATTTTTAAGCAGTGATGATTAAAGGTCTATTAGATAAATAACCTTTTTCATTAGTCGTAGTTGCGCTAGGTATAGCATTGCCTGAAGAGAGCTAAAATCAGGTGTCCAAACTTCTCCTCTCCCAGAAAGAAAAAGGTTGAGGCTAAAAAGCCCTTATGTTGCATTTAGACTTCCCCTGGCTGTTTTCTGAATGTTGTCAGGGAGAGAAGTGTGCATGGATGTGGGAGAGAGAAACAGCATGTCTTCCCTGTGCTGGGGCTGTAGAGATAAGTGGTTTACAGACACTGTACCTACCCCAGTTACCATTTTCCCCAAGTTTCTGTAGATTATAACCTCAAAGTCCTTCCCTGCCTCCCCATTATTCTTTCTGCTTAGCCCTGCCCTCTATCTGAGCCAGAAATGCAGGGGCAGGAGGGAGGTCAGGCTCTCACAACCAACTCAGTGCCTGCCCATGTACCCATATCCTCCCCCTGCTCATCTCCCCGTCCCTGTTGTCTGTCCCCTCTCTGACATCCACAGTTGCATCCCTCCTTGTCCTTAATTCTCCTGTGGGATGTGAGGCTTAAAGGATTATGGTCTGTGTGAGTTTGTAGCCCGGGCTCTGCAGACGCTGGGAAAACAGGGGGCTGGGGTGACAGGAGGCAGGGAAATGTCAAGGAAAGTACGTCACACTATTATACACCAACCACACACATTTTAAAGGAAGAATTGGGACTTATAAGAATGGTGGGAAACAGCACAATTGCTGTGTGCTATAGCTTACAATGCATTTGTTTAATTTCTTACTCCTGAGGGAAAATAAGAAAGGAAATGGACAATCTGATTCTCATTCATTCTCAGACTTAGCAAATAACATGGCATTTCATTGTAGACCTTTGATTCATGCCAGTTTGTGATATAATCTCAGTAACGCTTGCCTTCATCCGAACACAAGATTAATGCCGCTGTACATCACTTCACGCCTTCAGAGAGCTGATGCTTTGTCAGCTACACGCCTTGCCATTACACTGCGCTCTGCCCCCTCCTCACAACTGTGATAGATCTGCATGACAACTCCTCAAACAGCTTAAGAATTATATTCATTTCATTTCATCCGATGGAAAACACTACAAGTTGCTCTAACAGATTTCAGAGATAAAGTTACAAAATGACAGGGATTGCATGATGCATGTGCTCTGCGCTTGTCACTTCTTATCTGAGCTCCTCCCACCCAGTTTTGCTATCATCTCCATGTTTTATTTTTGCTTGCAAGTCTTTCTTGATGTGTGACATTCTGATAAATTAGTATGTCAGAGAAGCTTGAAATTACAACGGGAAAGGCACATCTCCTTTTGGCCCTGGAACAAAAGAAGCTTGCCCAGGTTCTAATGTTTCTTTGAAAGAAGACTGGGGAGAAATGGCTAACAACTACTCCAGGTCTTGGTTCCAGCTGCAGTGATGCAGAGGCCTGAATCACGGGCCCTCTCTCTGCAGCAGCTGTATGTAACAAGCAGCTTGATGGAGGATGTGGCCACAAGAGCTAGGACCTGTGCAGTCCCACAGGCAGGAAAGGCTGTAACATACAGTTTAGACAAGGTATTAAAGTGAGTATCTGTGTATCAGTAGGAACAAAACACTGCAGAAATAATTAATCAGCCAAACTGAGTGCACTCCTGAAAGCTAGCACAGAAGCAAAGATGTTGATCCCAGAAGTCAGTTGTCAGGAAGAAACGGATCCATTTTCCTCTCTGTGAGTGACCCTTTGATATACAGAAGTCCCCTCCACACAGAGTGGCTCTCCCATGCCTCCCACAAAACGTAATCCTACCTTATGAGCTTAGCTGCTGCAGTGACCTTCTTTTGTCTGTCTGCTCTGGAGTAAATTCTGCCTGACAGGAGTAAAGAAGATTGGGAGAAGGTTATTTTTAATATCAGTATAGAATATCGGTAGCAAAAGAAAGTACCAGAAAGGGAGGCATCCATCAGTTCATTATGTTTCCAGGGAGAATGACACCACCACAACTCACAACGTCTTGCAGGGAGCACACAAACAGCACACATCACAGCGTTAACCTGACAAGGCCCCTTCGCC